CGTCAAACGGATGCATCTGATTCAATCAGCAACTCTCTTCTCGACGAAAATGATGATGTCCACTATCACGTCAGCGGATCGGGTTTGCGGTATGTTTTCGTGGCCTTTGTTGATTTAATGCTAATCGATGATTATTGCGCATTTGTGATGTCTAATTTTTGCCGTAAAAGCTATGGATTGCATTCCTTTGATTGAGCGAGCTCGCGACGACCTTTCTCTTACTCTTCATTAATTAAAAATCTTAATGCTTAAGAATATATAACCACTAAAAAGAGTCCGTTCTCTTTTCGATATGGGCAATCGTTCTGTGACGCAGACTTTTATCGTTTGAAGCGAGTACGCAGTATTTTATGTGGTCGCACCATCTTGTGTCACCCACACCTTTGTGTGACCACACCATGTTGTGTGACAACATAGACTATTCCTGTGGTGATCGCCCCCGCTCACCTAGATACCATAAAGGTGTTGGTTCTGACGCGGCGGCAATAATTATGGCGTCAAAATGCTACATCAAATGAAATGATGTTAATTCGCAAAGACATATTACGCGTTTTTTGCTCATTGGCATCTGCTTAATACGTGCAGCATATATTGTTTGGCATACGAACTTTATATTCGTGCCGTGGTACCCTCCATTTCGCATTCTCAACTGTAGATGTGATCGCGAAAGAGGGAATTCAAGAATGAGCTTTTAAGATGTACGCGATGCGCCCTAGTAAGGTGGTAACTAAGGATATTAACTCAGATACGCTGTAGTACGTCTGAAAGTGTCACAACTCGAAATCCAACGTCTGACTTAAGTTGAAGTTATAGAATAGTTGGCCCGTTTCGTTGTCAATGATAAAAAAAACCGGTGATTCTTCGAGATCTATGCTTACATGCTTCTGATGAGTCGAACTTGTCGTAGTAATGCTTCATGCGCTCTTGTGCTTCACTCATACGGTCTTTCGATAGCGTTCGGAAGGCGTCGGCTGTGGAAAGTCAACGCTTGGCGCAAAATCTAGAATCAAAACCTTTTATGTGCAAAGTCCCGTTGCACTTGGTAGCACTTGCAGTCAATCCAACGGCGTCATTCCCATCTTTCTCAATAAAGTGGAGAACGAAATTCGTTTCCAATTTTGGCTCAATTATCACCTTGAATTCAGCTCGAAAAGCATCGCGAGTCACCAAACGGCGATCGAATAATAAGATATCGAGTCAAATGCGTTTCAACGCTACGATGGCGATCGAGAAGGCATCAAGGGCGAGGTTCTTGTGATATGCACACATCAGCACCATCTATCACTGCACTTTGGATAGCTGCAAGATCACTATAACATACGCAAGATCTATTGCTAATGCGTGATATGTCTTGCATGATAAGCCAAAGTAGCTGAGCAAAGTGCATGGTTGTTAAGG